ATAGTAATAGTAGAACCTTTGAACTTCAGCTTAACTAGTACTTAGAGTGAAATACATGGTCTTAAATGCCAATATCAGAAGTAAGGAAAGAATGGAAACTAATGGGCTAAAACCAATAATTTAAAATTAGGGGGGAAGAGTCTTGATGCCTACAGCTTGCTTTCAAATGATCCAGAGAAAGAGGAAAACAAATGTTGCTAATTATTAGCAATTGCTAAGTTTTTTTTTAAGATTTTATTTATTTATTTGAGAAAGAGAGAGACAGCCAGAATGGGAACACAGCAGAAAGAGTGGGAAAGGGAGAAGCAGACTCCCTGTTGAGCAGAGAGCCCGATGCAGGGCTCGATCCCAGGACCCTGGGATCATGACCTGAGCCGAAGGCAGATGCTTAACGACTGAGCCACCCAGGTGCCCCAGCAATTGCTAAGTTTTAGGAAGAGGATATGGATATTATCTCATTCTTTCAACTTTACTGTAGGTCTGGAATTTTTTTTAAATAAATTGGGGGAAAAGATAAAAGCATTTTCTTTAAAATCGAGAGTAAAGCAAAGATGTCTGTTACCACCATTTCTGTTCATTATATTAAAGATCTTAGCCAGTGCAATATGACAAGCAAAAGAAATGAGAATTGTAAGGATTAAGAAGGAAGGAAAATTATTCTGATTTGCACATTTTATGATTTTATGATGGTCTACATAGAAACCCCAAAAGAATCTGCAGGTACATTATTAGGATTAGTACTATAAAGTTGCTGGAGAAAGACCAAAATGTAAAAACGGATTGCATTTCTATATATCAGCAGCAATTAGTTCAAAAATATCATTAGAAATAATTAACCATTTAAAATAGCAACAGAAAAATCTAAGGTACCTAAGAATAAATTAAAAAAAAAGATGTTTAACACCTCAACGATGAAAAATTATAAAACTTGACTGAAGGTCTTTAAAGAAAGTCTAAAAGTAAACTATGTGTCAGGTTTATGGATAGAAGACATGGTATCACAGGATGTCAGTTTTTCCCAAACTCATCTATTATTGGATACAATTCAGCAAAAACTCCCAACAGGTTTTTAATAGAACTTGACAAAGCTGATTCTGAAAATATGGGAAATCAGTGCTCGAAAATAGCTCAGACACTTATGAAGAAAAACAAGATGGTTGGTAGTCTTGCCCTGGCATATATTAAGGCATATCATCATTAGGATAGTATGCAGAGGTAGACAAATCAAGGTAACAGAAAGAGAGGCTAGTAGAGAAACAATGGATTGTTCAGTACCCACATTTAGGAGAGTATGCAGAGGTAGACAAACCAATGCAACAGAGAGAGATTACTAGAGAAGAGATGGACTGTTTAGTACCCACATTCAGTGAGTCCCTGGGCTTGTAATACTTTCATATGTTTTTTAGAGATTGTTCCAAGAAGTGTGCTAGGCTCTGGCAATAAAGCGTAGGATTTCACAGTTGCCATCAGGTACAAATTGTATATCTAGAGTTTGGTGCCTCTAGCTTTGGTGCCTCATGAACTTCTAAAATTACATGCAAAATTTTATACTAATTTTTCTGGATGAGTGTTCATCAGATTCTCAAAGGGGTTCTTTCACACCCCCAAGTGTTTAAAAGGTGCTACATTCTTGACCATTTTATGACACATTTAATTTCTGAGGCCCCCACCGGATGCTAGACGATTACCAAAGAGTGTCATCAAAGCTTGGGTTGTAAAGGGATAAGGGGAGAAGAGCAAGAAGGTCTCTTCAAACAGGTAACGCTTGAGCTGAGCTGAGTGTGGAGTATAGACCCTTTATTCTGGCTACAGAGGGAAAAAAGGATTCCAGGCCAGGAGAATGATGTGTGCAAAGCCTGGAGACAGAGCCTGGGTCATCATGTGGGGAACTACAACTGTAATTGAACGGGAATAGTTATAAGAGGAATATAGAAATATGACAAGAAATGAAGCTAGCAAGTTGAGCAGTTACCAGATATTTCAGAGATTTCTATTCTTTTTTTCTTTTAAGATTTTATTTTATTTATTTAAGAGAGAGAGAGACAGCGAGAGAGGGAACACAAGCAGGGGGAGCGGGAGCAGGAGAAGCAGGCTTCCCGCGGAGCAGGGAGCCCGATGTGGGGCTCGATCCCAGGACCCCGGGATCATGATCTGAGCTGAAGGCAGACGTTTAACAACTGAGCCACCTAGGCGCCCCCAGAGATTTCTATTCTGTGCTAATGAATAATCTTCTGACATATTTGTACTTTTGAGGAAGCATGTAGGAGTAAATTTAACATGTTTTAGAGGTGGATGTGGTGGACAGGGTTGAGGTAGGTTGAGTCTAAGGAGACTCTCAAATTTCTGATCTAGTCTGGTCCCATCACAACAAAACTTCGCGAGCATGGTTGATTTTGCTGTTGTAGTTATTGTTTAGTGGAGGGTAAGGGGAGGGTGAAGTGTGTTACAGTTCATCTTTCCATGGTAAAAAATGCTTAGACTGCATTTTGTGTGTATGGTATGAATTATGTAGGTGGTTGTAGATAAACATTTGATTAAGAATTGTTGGAATGTAGGTAGTAATTTGAAGCCGTGGGAAGGATAGATGTTGAAGAATATGGTTTGGTGTGCAGAAGGCCATGATACTTGGAAGGAGATGCTGTTTTAGGATCTGAGCTGGGCTGAACACCAAGAAGTGGTCAGAGGCTCCATTGCAAACCTACCCCGACATTTTTTCTCCCCTTTCTACCAGCCCCATCACCAGAATCTCTTCCATGGTAGCCTTGGGTACCATTAACCCAAGGGAACGGGGGATGAAAGTTGTAGATGATAAAGAGAAAGGAAAAGACGTTCCTCTTGACAGCAGGCAGGGGCATTGGAAGAGGGTGGCTGGAGTAGGGAACAGAAGATCTGAGTCCCCATCTACCTGTTCCATTAACCAGCTAAGTGAGCTCAAGCCAGTCACTTCTCTTCTCTAAGACCCGATTTCCTTAGCTGTAAAATGGGTTTGTGAAAACCAGCCTTCACTTACAAGGTTGTTACATGAATCAAAGGCTACCATGGATGATATTCTTTGGTGGAATATAAAGTGCTTTATTGTTATGTTGGTCAGTGGTGGGCTAGAGGGGGTGGTAGGAGACTCACTACAAAGCCTCTGTTGAATCGAATGCCTAGGGCAGGCTGAAATTCCTTTGTATAGGGTTAAGCCATGCACTTATCAATTTGTAGAGCAGTAAGAGGCCTGAGAAATGACTTTGTAGCGAGAATGCAGAGATCTGCAAAGTTATTCTGTGATAACATTCCACAGAAATTTCATGTCAGGGTCCACACTGGAAGCCAGGCCTCCTCTCTAGGTGTGAGATTCATTTCTAGCCGAATTTGCACTGTCATGCAGTGGAAGCTTCCCAAAAGTCACAAACGTATTGATGAACTTAACAGAATCCAAATAGCATGTTGATACCTGAGGTTTTTCTGATCAGGAGTGCTGGGCGCTACACGATCTGGACCAGAGTGTGTTTATTCTAATGCCAAAGGGGAAAATAATTTGTCTTAAACTGACTTTTTTGCATTGCTTGCAGCTTTCTTGGAATTACATGCGAAATCAGTAATTAGCGTTATAATAGGGACGGAGCGCTGTCAAAATATGAGTTGCTTTTGGAAACTTCTCAGGTGATTGCCCCCCCTCCCCCGGTTTTCCACAAGATCTTTATAAACATCCTGCTGCGCTCTACTGCTCATCCCGCAGTTGAATGAGGGGTGTTACGTGTGGGATGGGCTTGTATGTGAGTGCGGGAGCGGACAGAGCACTGGACCAGTCTGCCCATAATAGTGCCTCATTAGTCCTTGTTCTCACTGGACTGGTAATAGGATCAAACTGGCTTTCTCAAACTGAGAGCTTGTTGTTGAAATTAGCATCCTTGGAAACAGATTCGTAACATTATCTGTGAGAGGCTGAATTTTTATCGTGTGCTGGGCATTATACTGAATGCTTCACACGTGTAATGTCATTTTATCTTCAATAATCTCATGAGGCAAGAACTTTTTTATTTGCCATTTTATATAGGAGGAAAATAAAATCAGGAAATCAGTAACAGCCCAGTGTCCCTCAGCGAGGATTCAGATTTCGGTCTCACGCTGATGCGTATTATGCCTTTTCCACACTTCCCAGCCATGTCATCCATCTCCGGCAAATGATTTAACTTCCCCTAGCTCGCATTCTTCAAATTCAAAATGGGGATCATACGAAAAGCACCCCCCTCCCCATCTTCACAGGTGTCCAAAGGATAAAATGTGCAGAAACATTTGGCAAACTCTAGAGTTTTGATTGTTCTTTGTCAAGTGCCCAGTAAGTGTTTTTGTCTGTCATTCACGCTATTTCGTGTTGTAACAATTGTAACTTCACTGAACACTAAAGCTTTTCTTATAAAAGTGTACATCCGTAGGTTTTTTCACTATCGATGTTTTGACAGAGCTATTGAAGGGTTCAATTTGGGGTTTCTGTGATTTGCAAAATCACGCAAGAGTTCATGTTCGATATATTTTCTAGGGGTATCTGTCACTTTCTTTTCTAGCAGCAGGGAGAACCAGTCTGGTGTGGTAAGTTGGTGTATAAAGGCTTGATATGTGTCTTCTTTCATCTTCTGATCACCTTGGTGTTACGTGCAGTGGGCATGCCGCGACCCTTCAGATGCCAGCCCGAAGCTCGGGGGGGGTCTGCGGGTGATTTAAAGCGATAACCTGACATCTGCGATCATCCGGCAGGCACAGGTCCCCCCTGAGTGGCTCAGAATCCTTGGTTGTGCTCCGGCACATTCATGTCTCTGTTCTCAGAGGGCTTAGCATCATGTATAACCAGCTCTCAGCTTTCTGCCCCCCACCCCCACCCCATGCTGACGGCACCTCTCCTCCCCCCACCCCGCTGTGCTCTGGTGGCACCTCTCCCCTCCGCTGTGCTCTGATGGCACCTCTCCCCTCCGCTGTGCTCTGATGGCACCTCTCCCCTCCGCTGTGCTGCGTTACAGGTGTTGCTTGAGTCCATGGTCGATGCCGCCGAGGACCTTTGTCCCAACGTGATGAAGAAAGCCCACATTCGACAAGACTTGATTCATGCCAGCACTGAAAAGATTTCCATCCCACGTACCTTTGTGAAAAATGTCCTGTTGGAGCAGTCTGGAATTGACATCCTTAACAAAATTAGGTAGGTTTACGACTGTAGTTTCTGTGGTCGCAGTCGAGGCAGCTGGGAGGAGTGTCACTGTTGGCTCCAGCCGTGGATAACATGTAGGCACGTCTAATAGGCAGTCATGGCGTAGACAGCTGCACGTAAACGCCTAGGTTTGTACATTTCCAGAACAAGACGGGTGCAGATATGCCTGCCTTACTGAAGAGCGGACGGCTCTCTGCTCCGCTTTAAAAGGGGGTACGTGTTTGTAGTCCCTTTTTTTCTTCTCCTGAAGCGTATCTTCCACCTTTAAAAATTACTAACTTGAAGTTTGCTTTCTGCCACCGTGCTGTTCTGAGCAAATGCACAGTCTAGAGATAAGCCAAGAGGCCCGGCTTGGCCTCGCGGCTGTTTCCTCCTGTGTTCTCTGGCAGGTCTGGGTACTGTGTACGTGCTGACGCTGCTCTGGACTGTTGGCTGATTTGTGCTTGATAAAGTTTGAAAAATACGCCAAGATACAAATATTGAGAAGGTGTGATCACCAAACAAACTTTCCTCTATTTCCACCTAGAAACTCCGGGGTGGTTAGCAGTTCTGAACGATACTCCACGAATTCTCCATGTTTCTCCATTGGGGAGTCAGCAGACTAGAAACTAAATTCAGAAATATTTTCAAGTATCCCCTTTTAACTGTTTCTGAATCTCAAGAAGAAGACTTCGATGTAGGGGGGAAAAAACAACCAACAGCAAAAACACACAAAAAACAAAACCTCAGCTTTTATCTGAAGTGGGAGTTGTGTCAACAAAGAACGAGTGATGTGTAGCCAAATGAGAACCTGAGAAAAATGAGAGTTAAAATAAGCCAAAAATGATATTACAACCTAGATACGGAAGGTAGATCATGGAACTTGGAGGATTGAGGAATTCTGCAGTGATGAGATCATCTTGGGTCTAAGGTGCAGCTGTCCTGTGTGTGTGTTGGGGTTTCTAAAAATAAAACTCTAGGGCACCTGGGTGGCTCAGTTGTTAAGCGTCTGCCTTTGGCTCAGGTCATGATCTCGGGGTCCTGGGATCAAGTCCCGCATCGGGCTCCCTGCTCAGCGGGAATTCTTCTTCTCTCTTTGCCTCTGCCTCTCTCTCTGTCTCTCATGAATAAATACATAAAATCTTTAAAAAAAATAAATAAAAAAACTCTAGTGCCAACTGAGCTAAATGGTAAGACTTGCACAATGAAAGGCCATTTAGAAGATTTACAGGACCCCATAGATCAGTGATTTTATTGACTCAAGCCCTGACTAGGTATGCTTACATAGTTCTGCAACCCGTAGTTTTAGGATTTTTATTGAAGCCCTTGAAGTATTAAGGAGGAAAAATGCATTGGCCACCATTCTTCTGTCCTAATGGATTGAATTACCAATGGATCATACTCTGGTGCCTTTACTAGGAGTACCAAATTCTGTCAGATATGGTCACTTCTTTTGAAGATGGGCAAATTCTGAAAAGTGAACAGCAGGCTAGAACTCCTTCTATCAGTGAATCACTTCTATGTTCATTAACTCCTTGCTTGGCTTTTTATTTTTTTTATTTTTTTTTAATTTTATTTATTTTTTTTAAAGATTTTATTTATTTATTTGAGAGAGAGAATGAGAGAGAGCACGAGAGGGAAGAGGGTCAGAGGGAGAAGCAGACTCCCTGCTGAGCAGGGAGCCCGATGTGGGACTCGATCCCAGGACTCCAGGATCATGACCTGAGCCGAAGGCAGTCGCTTAACCAACTGAGCCCCACCCAGGCGCCGTTTGCTTGGCTTTTTAAAATGTGTTATTTGGAGCACTGATGGAGTGAAAATACAAATGTCCACACCTGTGTATACATCCAGATACAGCTGTGCCCATGCAGGTTAAGTGGAATCATTTGCTCTAAAAAGTTTGCAGTTTGGAAGTTCAATAAGGAAGCATATTATCCGGTAACAAAATGATAGCACAATCCTGAAACTTTTTTTTTTTTTTGGTGCACTTTAAAGGATCTTTTTTGGTGCTACAATTTGAAACAGATAAACCATCCCTCCCCAACTTGGTGGGGGGTGGGGAAATAAAACTACCAATTCTATAGTTTTATGAAGAAGTAAAATTCCCAAACATGCCTGAAAAAATGAGAGGAAGTGCTTGTCAAAATTAGATAATCCCAGGCCCACCCCCCACCCCCGCGTTACCCCCACCTCCCACCCCAGGTTTGGAGTGGGACCCAGTAATCTGTATTTTTAATGAGACACAGGTGAATCTTATCAGCAGACACCTCTGGGGAATAATAAAGTAAAGTATTAGATAAGCCCAATAGCTCCCAAGACCTTGTTTCAGGGACAGGAATTAAAGAAACATCCTTTTATCTTTAGCCTAGGAAAATTTCTAATGTAGACATCAAAGACTTAGTGCCTCCATTTTTCCCTGCCATCCAAAATCTGCCTTGCCAGAAAAAATCTCAATGCAAACCACTGCCTTTCGGTTAGAAAGGTTTTTCCCTGTTACACAAATATACTTTCAACCTTGGTTTTAGCATTAAATAATTATATTTTGATAACTCCTTTCCCTGCTCTAAAAACTTGAGAATTCTTGACTTCAAAAGTAGATTGAACTTACGAGGCGATATTGGAGCGTGGGTCTATCTCTCCAGCACATTCGCCTTCAACTGTATTGTGCATTTATGTCCATTTGCGCATACGTGCATTTCAGTAGGATTATTCAGACTGAAGACACACAGGTAGAATTTGAATTCTTGGGAATACCAGATAACTAAAATGCAGACTGAAATACCGGCTATCTGACAGAGACCCTCATGGCTGACTTGTTTATTAGTGAAAACTCCAAAACTAGCGGGTTACTTTCAGTTGACTGGACACCTTCTTAAGGTCAGATGAGAGACACCGAAACTGCATGTTTTGGTAACCTCTGTTCATAAGAGGCAAGAGAACAGTGAATTTGTCACAGTTTGAAGTAAGATGGGGAGTACAGCAGAAGCAGTTCAATATGGTACCATTGGACTGGTAAAAAATTTTGTATTTTTTTTTAGGCGGGGGACATGCATATTAAAGTAATAACCCAAGTTTAACAATCAGACTAGACTTACTTAATTTACTCCAGCCCAGGTTTGTTTTCCTTTATGTCAATGGAAGAATTGTTCCTCACCACACGGTACATCTGGTTCCCATTAAGTTTGTCTTTATCCAGATGTTTTTCATTTCTACCACTAAATCTTGAGTTTTGAGATTGCAGAGGCAGGTTGAAATTGGTCAAGCAAGTCTATTACCTGTGTGTTTATGGCAGTGTTTAAAGCTTATTTTTGGAAATCCTTAGCCTTGTTCACACGTTCTTCTATTCCATTTTCAAAGACAGAAGCGGAATCACAGTTGACCTTATCAGCATAGTATCAGGGGTGGGTGATACTGCACAAATTTAAATGCTACTGTGTCCTTTTGCTTTTCACATAGTGAAGTGAAGCTGACAGTGGCCTCCTTCCTGTCTGATCGGATTGTGGATGAAATCCTGGATGCACTATCACACTGCCATCATAAACTGGTGAGTGCTGTGCACATCTGGAGTGGGACTTCCAGTTGTGGTCTGTTGTGGTCTGCTGGTCTTTCCACCACAGTGGGAAGAACAGGGCAGGCTCCAGGTTGGGGATGCCGCTTCTTTCCTGCATCTTACTCCTCTGCAGCTTTATGGGTGACGATCCTGCTTTTTTTCCTTTCCTACATTGCTTCCAGACCATTCTAGAACACGTTAGAATCTCTCCAGAGGGAATGGAAGGGAACGAGACGTGATGGTATTGAGAAATTTTGTTGTGCGTTTATAATGCAGATCCAAAGTTTTGTTAAGAAATAATGCTGAAACCGAGATCTAAAATGAAGGTATTTTAGATTATTTAATTTCTGTGTGCTTATTTTGTTGCTCTTCGACATGATCATGTGAGAATGGACTATTCCTGAAAACATGGGGTGAGGGGAGGGGAATATTTGGAGTCCAAGGCCAGAGTAAAATGGACACATTCTAGGGATCGGTAGCTGCCGCGTGCCCAGCCAGGCCTCTTGGATATAACGGAGGTAAAGACATAAATTTTCTTCGTCTAGAGACTGGTTTTATTGAGGTAGAAGACTTTACTTCTGATATCACTGCATATAAAAAATATATCAGAAACTTCATGTGTTTTCAACTTCAGGAAGTCCTCTGAGGCACAGAGGAAGGTTTCGTTACTCCTTACATCTCGTGTTGCGAACATTTTAGCAATGGGATGTGGTATGAATCTCTCGAGCAAGTTATGACATTTTCCCCAGAGAAGCATTTCAAGTCAAGTGCAGGCTGGAGATAGCCGGCTTTATGGCATGGAATCGTTGGTGATGCCAGGGAGCACCGCAGTGGGAAGAACAGTAACTGTGGCTTCTCCACGAGGCAGACAACATGAATATTTCAGAAAAATGCGTAGGCTGTCCTCTAAAATCGAAAAGATAGGACAGGAGTTTCTCGCAGGGTCACTGAAAATACCGCCTATGGGCTGGGGCTGGCCCACTCACGGGGCACCCGTGCCTGATAAGGTTAGGTCACCAACCAAGAGGAAACGTGGAGAAATTTCTAGAGCAACTGGAGATGGCCACAATACGCAAACACATGTTACTTCTCTAAAGTTTCATTTTTGTATTTTACCAATACACCAGTGTGTGGCAAACTGGAAATATAGAAAACTGGTTCATCACCCCAGAGACTTTTAAGAAGCACTAGCTTCTGGTTTGTGGCACAGGAAAGGCCTATGTTAGGGGCTCCTGGGTGGCTCAGTCATTGGGCATCTGCCTTTAGCTCAGGTCATGATCTCAGAGTCCTGGGATCGAGCCCCACATAGGGTTCCCTGCTCGGTGGGGAGTCTGCTTCTCCCTCTCCCTTTGCCTCTCCTTGTGTTCCCTCTCTCTCTGTGTCTCTCTCTCAAATAAATGAATAAAATCTTTAAAAAAAAAAAAAAAAGGAAAGGCCTATGTTAGGGTCTAGAGCTCCCAAGTCAGACTTTTCCTTTTTTTAAATAAGCAGAAACAAAATCAATGGAGCATCCTTTATAGAAACAATTTCTCAATAACCCACGGCTGCAGGGACGGCCTCAAAATGCCCCCTTCATATTGTACCAACATGATTGCACGTGAGCACCACACTGAACGGCTGAATTGTTCACTTTTTTTGCATTTGTCTTTCTTTGAAGAATTTACTCAGAAAAATACCGACTTTTTTTTTTTTTTTACAATTTAAAAATGAACTATGTGGGTGCACTTTTGTACTGAACTTTATTTTAATATTCTGATTTGGGTTGTAAGAAGGGAGCTTAACTGCTGTGTGAAAGGAATAGTATCTAAAAAATGAAATTTTGTTTTCAAAGACATTCCAATTACATGAATATATTCTCCAGTTTAAGTTTAGAAGCGTCGCCAGTGGTTCCACGGTATTGTCAGCTGGTTCTGGTCCTTTCCAAAGAATTAAATCAAAGTTCCTGGTGATGAATCAGCCCAGCACTAGAGTTTATTAACGTCAGCCCAGTTTATTCTACCTCTTATCATTAATGTTTTTAGGTTTACCTAAAGCATAACAGTGGAAATTAATAAATCCTATCACATACGGTGTTCATTACCTGAAAACAATGAAAGCTGTTAGCAATTTCCTTCCTTTCGGCCCTTTAAAAACAGGAAAGGTTGGAATCATTTTATTTCCCCTAATTAGGTATTTTTAAAACACTAGATATAGAAATTATTTCAGAGGAGGGGCGCCTGGGTGGCTCAATCGTTAAGCGTCTGCCTTCAGCTCAGGTCATGGTCCCAGGGTCCTGGGATCGAGCCCCGCATTGAGCCCCGCATCGGGCTCCCTGCTCCGCAGGAAGCTTGCTTCTCCCTCTCCCATTCCCCCTGCTTGTGTTCCCTCTCTCGCTATCTCTCTCTGTCAAATAAATAAGTAAAATCGTAAAAAAAAAAAAAAAAAGAAAAAGTTTAAAAAAAAATTTCAGAGGAACTATGAAATAAAATTAATGAAAAGAACACACCGTATTTTCTTCTGGACTAAGTATTCTTGTATTTTACTAAAGGAGGTTTTATGATTTCTTGCTTAAGACAACCCACCCTCCAAAGATAATAGGTAAGTTACTGTAGTGTGAATGTATTAAGAATTGTCCGTAACCGCACGAAGGTAGAATCCTTCACCGCGCCACCTTGTGGCAAGTATCTTCCAGAATTCAGCTAACATGCGCTTCCCTTCTTTGCCTCTGGTCCTTCTTCTTGACTCTCTTAGGCTGACCATTTCAGCAGACGGGGCAAGACCCTTGCTCAGCCAGAGACCTTAGAGATTGAGCTGGCTGAGGAGAAGCCAACTAAGCGCTCTGTCATGACGGTGGAGGAACTCACGGAGATGGAGCGTTTGGAAGATCTGGATACTTGTATGGTAAGATGCGTCCTTTGGTGACACAATTACCCCATCACCACTGGGCTCTGCTACTGGTTTTTTTTTTTTTTTTGGAGATCTCACCATTACAAACCAGACCAAATAGAACTCCCTCCCAGAGATCATTCTTTCAGAAACTTGTTGCTTACAGAGACTGTTAATGAAGCTAATGAAGCTGAAGCTTCAGGTCCCCACTAAGGCCCTGTACCTTACTTTGGATTTGTAATTTTGTAAAACTTCACTTTATTTCATTTTATTCTATTCTGTATTCCAGTGTAATTAACATACAGCGTAATATTAGTTTCAGGGGTTACAATATAGTAATTAAGCACTTCCGTACATCACCCAGCGCTCATCACGACAGGTGCCCTCCTTCATCCCCATCACCTGTTTCCCCCATCCCCCACCCGCCTCCCCTCTGGTCACCATGTCAGCGTGTTCTCTAGAGCTAAGAATCTGTTTCTTGGTTTGTCTCTCCCTTTTTTTCCTTTGCTCGTTTTTTGGGGATATTTTGTTTCTTAAAACTTTTCTTAAAGAGTACTTCCATACCCCCTCCCAAGGAAGAGTTCTGGAAGTTACAGTGAGCATAATACCTAGATCTGTCCCTGTAGCTTCAGTGGAAAAAATTCCTAAATTCTTTAGGAGAAATTGATTAACTTTTGAAGGTCATTTGTGACAAGGAAATATTTTTAAGTAAGCCATTAAAAATGTGGGGAGGACTTTTTCCCACACAAAATATGTAGGATGACTATTTCTCTCTTGGTTCTATCATTTTTTATTTTCTCTGGTGCTTTTTCCCATTTTTAATTTACACAATTTGGGGGTATCCTCTTATATTTGCATTTCCCATTTAGTTTATATTCTGTTTAATTCCCTTGATGTGAGGTGCTTTAGAAGATGGAATATACACCTAGTGTCTGCCTAGCAGTAGGTCTTGATTCCTAACTCACTTTCTGAATTTCACATGGTGTATCCATCTGGCCACATAACTAGAGTGTTCAGTATGTTGATGTTTTTTCCCCTCTGAGGACAATTTTACTTAAGTTCCTATTTACATTATTTTAGAATTTGTATTATTAGTATTAGTTACTTCTTTACTGTAAAAACAGTTGTATGTGCCTCTCAATATTTTTATGTTTCACTAAAATAATTAATCTTTTAGGAATTCCTCAAAATCTGAGAGAGTGCTGCTAGACAACATCTGGGCTACTTCTTCGCCCAAATGTTTCTACATCAGCTAATAATTCTAGTAATTTTTAGATTCGGCCATTGTCAGGAATGATACTTATTTTTAACTTTGAAAACCAAGGATTTGATGGCCTGCTGTGATTTTTCTAGCCCAGAAGAAAAGATAATGCTTTAAGTAGTTCCTTATTTATAAGCCAGCCATTGTTACCTGTTAAAGTCTGTGAGTAGGGGCGCCTGGGTGGCTCAGTTGGTTAAGCGTCTGCCTTCGGCTCAGGTCATGATCCCGAGTCCTGGGATCGAGCCCTACATCGGGCTCCTGGCTCAGCGGGGAGCCTGCTTCTCCCTCTGACCCTCTCCCCTCTCATGTTGTTTCTCTCTTGCTCGCTCTCTAATAAATAAATAAATAAATAAATAAAATCTTTAAAAAAAAGTCTGTGAATAAAATAATTGAGAACCCTCCTGATAAAACCCTATCATATACAAGGGGGCTAGCAAAGAAAGCCAAAAATATCCTAGATTTCAAATAACATTCTAGTATAGTGAAAGATGACAAATAATTTGCTATATAACTATGTAAACTTACAACTGTATTTGGTCTATGTAGGGGGAATTACCAAGTTTTTTAATAACTTGTATATTGTAAAATGTATCTTTAGTATTTTTTTACTTTGCATCTTGAGACAGTGGAAGTTAACATAGGGTGATTATTCTAGAAAGCTTCTAGTTTAACCTTAAGAGAAAATAAGTATGTTATAGGAAATAGATATGAATTAAAAATTCAAAATTCACTCTACATGTCACATTTCCTGCCAGAATTATTCAGTCATGTGTGAGTTGGGAAGGAGTAAAGAAAATGTGAGCTTATAAGACACATTTTGTTGCGTTTGTAAGTTATGTGGTTTAGGATGAGAGATTGTTGGCTAAGAATGACTGGCTTAGCTACTGTAAGGATGGTGTTTCACTGTGTAAACTTTATTTTTGTTTGATTGACTGCTTTGGTTTTGTCATGTGAGAGAAAACGGTGGTTGTTCTTCTTAAAGTGGGTGGGGTGAGAGGAGAGGAGAGGAATCATTTCTTTAAATTTATTTTATATTAAGATATAATCAACATATAATACCCTTTTAGTTTTATTTATTTATTTTTTTAAAGATTTATTTTTTTTGGGAGAAAGAGCATGCACCAGTGGGGGGAGGGGCAGCGGGAAAGAATCTTAAGCAGGCTCCGCGCCCAGCACAGAGCCCCACTCGGGGCCCAATCCAGGATCCTGAGCCAAAATCAAGAGTCAGACACTTAACCAGTTGAGCCACCCAGGCGCCCCTTTACTTATTTATTTTTAAAGTAAACTCTACACCCAATGTGGGGCTTGAACTCATGACCCCTGAGATCAGGAGTCATAGGCTCTACTGACTGAGACTGCCAGGCATCCCAACATTGTTTTACTTTTAGGTGTATGACATAATGATTTGATATATGTATATATTATAATATCCTAAGCCACCCACAGACAGCGCATTTTACACCGCGGCAGGTCCTCTGAGTGCAGGGAGCCCTCTCCTACAGAAAATCAATTTTCTGAGCTTTGGGCTTTTTACCCTAAGCCAATAGCCCAAATTCAGAGCGAATTTGAAAGGAATAGAGGATTCGTCTCACCTTTTAAAATTACCCGCACTGCCTCTTTCATAATCAAAGCAGCAAATCGTTTGTGTTTCTCGTTGACATCCATTACCAAATATTCAAGTTGTGGTCCTCATGTGGCACCATTTTAAAAGGGTTTGAAGAACAGATTTGCAAGGGAGAGACATTTAGTTTGTTTTGGTTTTCTAAATGAGCCTGTGCACATGCCTTGGCAGCGTTTTTGGCTTAAGTGATCCGGGAAGATAGGGTACAAGGTTAACTGTTGTGTGGAAGAGTCCCAGAAGGACAAGTGCCTCCGTGCCTGCCGACAACCTTTCCCACGTGGAATTGTGAGTCCCTGGCGGGTAGAATTTGTGCCATACACAGAGCTAGAGCACTGTGAAGTGTGATGTTGTAACTTTGCTATTACCTAAAATGTTGGTTGATAGCCCAGAGCCCTGTGACACTTTCCCTAGGGCATTCCAAAGTAACTTGGACTCATCACCAACCTTCTTCTTAGAGATTCTACTTATAGAGTCAGGATCCTGGCGTTTTTTGCCTGTGATGTTCATGACATCTGCTAAATCTATTTTTGAACATTTCTTTAACAAACTTAGTAGGCAATCTGGGCATCTCTTTTCTCCCTACCCCCAGATATCTTATCATCATGTTTCTTCCATGTCTCCCTGGTCCAAAAGTCAATTCCATTTCAGTCCTTATGTCTCTGTAAAGAACCAATAATTATAATCACACTAAGGAAGGTTTAGCACCATAAATTAGAGGTAGAAATTTATTAGTCGAGTTCAAGGGTTGCCTTTTTGGAGATGGAAACAAATTTAATGTATATGGCTGATTGCTTAAACTTACTCTTTGTCTAAGTGAGGGCTGAAATTAGGATGAGTGAGCAGTTTGAGAGGCCCTATTATCTGCTGGCAGGGCAGGCCAGGGATTTGGGGCCGGGGGCAGTTAGGGAGGATGCCTGAGACCTTCTCATCAACCTTAATTTCATAATTGTTGAAGGAAAAGGCAGTTTTCTTTAAATAAAAGGGCAGAGTTAAAAAACTGTCTTCAATCTAATTATCTTTTTCTTTTAGCTAGAAAGAAACAAAGAAGTTATCTAGTTCAAGTGGTGGGTGTCATGGGAGGTGGGGGGGTCCTGGATAGAACAAGAACTATGCGAATAACCTGCAGACATTTTCCAGTGTGTGTCCACTCTCATAGCCCCAGAGATTCTGATGTCAGTTTACTCCAGACAGAAAATCAGATGATTTAAAAAGTCTTCTTGTTCATTTATTTAACACTTAGATGTAGTCCCTGTAATGTGCTGGGCACTATTCTTAGCTCTTTATGAAGAGTAACCAGTTCAGCCCTTTCAACCACCTATGAATGATAGATATCATTAATATCTTGTGTCTAACAAGTGGGTAAACTGAGGCATAGAAAAGTAACTTGTTCAAGTGGCCTGAGGGCACTCAAAGGCAGGCAGTTTGGGATCGTAGTCTGCGTGTTTAAGCAGTATATGGATGTCATATACGGTGTATTTCTTACATCCAGAATTAAAGCTTCGGTAAGATTTAATTACACTTGCATTGCTTTGTGTAACATATCTGCTTACTAATTCCAGACTAAATTGATATGTAAACAGGAACACAAATGAAAGACGTGTGCCGGATAACTATAATGTAAGCCTGCAGGTTTTAAACATGTTTGGAAACCGCTGTGTCAAAAATCCTGACATGCTCAATTGTTAGAAATGAATCTGCCCACTTTGGGCCTACCTGGAATATTCCTTGCCTTTCCATGTGTTATTTTGTTGGCGATAATGATTAATTAGCTTTCCTAGACTTATAATCTTAACACCCATGCCTTCTATGTCCTGCTGAAACATGTATTTACTTAGCCTCTTGATTGTCCGTAGACCATCTGTTCTCTCCTGCAATCAGGTGTTCTTAGGAAATCAGTATTCCCAGCTGTCTCTTTCAACTTCACTTTATCATTGGCCTTTGGGATATTGAAGGATGCAGTTCGCATTCTACTGATTAGTTACTTCTCAGTATTTAATTTATCTGTATATATAGTTTACCACCTTTAAAAAATTACAGAAGCTCGGGGTTTAGGATCACGTGCCAAGTGGGTGAAGAGCCAGTGTCTGCTCCTTAGCATAACTAGCTCACTAATTGTATGTAATTCTTTCAGAT